CGTATGTGAAAAGACTTATAAAATTAAATGAAAGACTGCCAAATTTTGTAAAGATATACGCTATATTGAAAGTTAGAAGTATTAAATCTATAAAGACTTTAAACGAGTACAAAGAGGTCACATGGTCAGTCAATTTGACCGACCCCGTGTTGAGAGCGTTAATTCTGGAAGTCCATATTTTTGCTTTATACTGATTTTAAAACTTTGCATCATGATTTTTTTTTCTTTTATATTGATGATTTCTATGGGATATTACACTTAAAGAAATGTATTTTAAAAGTGCTTAGCTTCAAGATTGTTTATTTACAATCTAAAGAATTCAATTGTATATGATGCATAAATTTAACATTCTGATTTCAAGGATATACATAAGCTACAGCACTCTGTAGAATCTGAAATACATCTTGATTTTCATTTCTGTCATCACTAAAAGTCAATAAATCGGTGAAGAAAGAAGGCTTTTTGTTAATCAAAATGTTGATTGCACTTTGTGCTGCATGTATAATTAATCATTGTAATGTTGTAAATTGTCAAAAGTTATTGCCAATTATGAAAGTTTAAGTGGATTGTTCAAGGTACTTCATAATCCAGGGAAATGGCAGTATTGTAACGTATGTTTTTAATCTATAGTTTTTCAAACCTGTATTGTCATTTAGCTGGAAGAAATTTTAATAAAATCATATGCATAACATTAATGTCTGGAAGTTTCCCAGAGTTTTGTAAACACAGTTTAAGTCATCTTTAAAAAGCATTTTAGGCTAAAGAGTGAGTTATTGATTGACTTTGATATATTAATCAGCACATTAGTTATTCAAGTTTTTCTGTTTCTGTTAGCCACTTAGTGAGCTAGTTAGCTAGCTCAGTGTTGTGAATATTAAGGTTGCATTTTAACAAAAAAAAAGTACAGGTAAGTAAAATTTATGCTTAGAAACAGTTTACTTGTAAAGTTAAGCCTATTGGTTAACATGAGTTGCTCTAAACACAGCATGAATAAATAAATTGTTTTTTTTTATTATTAATTAGACTGTTCTTTGTATTGATCTTCTTACAGAATAATCCAAAAGAACCCAGACAACAAGAGAAACTATTACAGTAATATTTTAAGTTCTAAAGTTGATATTATTTGTATGTAAGCATACCATACCATGCACTTATTACCTTGTTATTTTAATAGAACATTTTTTGAAATTTGTCAGTTATTCAGGGGAATGTGCACTTTTCACATAATATGGTCAAGAAATTAAGTTACTATTTCACTAGCTACTTGCATAATTAAAATGCTCAATTAGAAACATTGATTTCAACCCAGAGCAAAATTAATTTATCTTAAAGAAAACAACTTTTTAGAAATGATACTCTGTTGGTTTTCTAGGTAAATATTTTTTTTTCTGTGATAGTTTTGAGAAAAAGACATATATATATTGGTCATAAGTATATGGTTAATTTGAAATAAATATTTAGTAATTTTTTTTCTGATCCTAAATGTATTATGACAAACTTTGAATTCATGCTTAAGTCAGTCATTTTTGAATTTGCACTTGATTGTGAATGTTGAAGTTGACAGGTTGAATAAATATATAAGCAAGAACTTAAGTTCATAAGCTCATGTATTTAGACATCATTGAAATATTATTACTATAAAATGCTTTTTTGAAATTACAAAAATTAATTTCCAAAACATACTTACCTTTGCTGCCACTATAGCTATTATTCGACTGCCAAGGTTTCAATCTTTGCATTGGTCTGATTTTCTTCTCACTTGCTCCAGTCTTTTATATCCCACTCAACTTAATTGTACCAAAACTAACACTTCTTCTTCTAGTGGTTAAAGAAAAAAAGGAAGAAGATGCAGTGAGATTTGCAGAACTTCATCAGAAGCTTAAAGGCAGTGTAAGTTGTCTAGATTTTATATTGTTTTTATTGTGATATCCCTTTTAAGTGTTTTTGCTTTACTTCATGCAAATTCTTTAAATGAGAAACTGAAAATGTGAACTAAAAACAAGCAAGTGCTTGGGAGTGAGTGAAAAAAGAAACAGTGAATTAAAACTTCACAAAACAGAAAAATTATATATACATACTGTTTTTTTACCACCAGAGTTGTACACTATTCTCATAACTTCTTAACATCATGCAGTGTCAGTTCCAGTCAGAAAATGTGAAAGATTCTTGCCCAACAGGAAAGAAGTTTCTCATTCTGGCACATTATATCAATTTAAAGTTGATGTTAGGGTTATCAGTGTCCAAATCGCTCTTGATTTACTCTACAACTTGCAGTGTGAATCATTAACACTAATTGCTGACAAGAAACATTAGCTATTAACAGATTCTACTACTAAATGTTACCATTTAATAAAATGACACTTTATCACTTAACCCTCTCAATATGGACAAGTCAAATAGCTATGTCACAACGTTTTAGAGTTATTTTCAAAATTTAATGAAACTTTATAATCAATTTATGTCAGTGAAATTGGCATCAAACTTAGTTTATAATTCAGATATTAACATTATATATGTTTTAATTTCTTAATTTGAAAGATGGTATTATGCCTACCATATAGCATCTGTAGTGGTTAGCAAATTAGAAACTCAAATTTCAGACATTGACAAGTTAGAATATAAAATAAGAACCTCCCACCTTTTTGATTTGCTGAAATATCAATAGATTTAGCAAACCTACCACAGTAGCCTCTCCAACTGCTACATTCTTTTGAAACCTCTTGTCCACTCATGTCTACTTCTCTCAAGTACATGTTTATAACCAATAGAAAAAGCACATTCCAAACTGAGCAAGTCTGACAGTCATTTGTAATTGGTTTGAAGGGGAAAGCCAGAGTTTTACTGGAAATGGTGAAATTTTTTAAACCACAGTTACAAAGACAGATAGATTAGTGATTTTATGCATACCAGTATAGTAATTTGATAATTTTTTGGTTTTCTAAATTGCATTTTTGAAATTACAAAAATTAATTTCCAAGACATACTTACCTCTGCTGACACTTGACTGCCAAGGTTTCAATCTTTGCCCATCTAAGCATTGGTCTGATTTTCTTCTTGCTTGCTCCAATCTTTTATATCCCATTCAGTTGCCCTTGGTGATATGCTCTCCGCCTATATCAATGCACCCTCTATCCTGGTACTGTATATAAGCACCTCATTCAGATAATCTTAATCACTTTTCTCGACAAAGCATTTAGACACGGGTTTCTTTACACAAGTGCTCAGATAATTAAAGTATAGTCGCGATTGTCTCTCCACCTAGCGGTTTTCAATATAAATTATACTTAATAATTATTGTTAAAAAAAATTGAGACACGCTGTTTTCAGGCATGAATTCACAGGTTACTGTTTCCAGCACGGAGGCTAATCAGCCCTCCTCTATTCCACCTCTGGTATCTAGTGTCTTTCAAAGGTCGGGAGGGGGTCACTTTCAGTTGAGGCTGTCTGTGATCTTATTTTTTGTGAAATGGAGACGTATTCAGTCCAGGGGGGTTCTGTCAAAGATCCAGGACAGTCTGGAAAGAATTTTGATTTTTCTTTTCCAGTGCCTTCATTTATTAGGTTGGCTTCTCATGAGGCCTTCTGCCCCATTTGTTCAATTACTCAGTCGGGTTTGTCAACTTTTGGGGCTTTCTCCAGTTGCCTTTGAATCTACTCCTTCCTTAATAGCTGAAAGGTCTGAAGGTGGATATTTAGTTTTTCCACCCTTACCTGATATTGCTGTTAATAATTGTTTGTCTGAACAGCATGCTTTGGCTTGCCACTGCCAGGAGGATGTATATTTAATTCCCAAAGACTTGATCCTCTTTTGGATATGTGGGGTTCCAGACTGGGCCCTGTGATTACTTTGAACAGATTACAATTTTCTCGGATTTGTTTGACCCTCACTAGTGCTCGGAATATATCCCATCCTTATCTTTGAGGCTCCTCCACTCGGGCAGACCAGTGCCAATGGCATTGGTGACTATCCTATGTGGGTGGGATCTGTGGGAATGAGGTTATAGCATTTTCTGGACACCTGGAATTCCTTCACCACAGATCCATGGGTACTTCAGGTTCTGGCATCAGGGTTGGTCATTCAGTTCACTTCTCCTCCTCCATTATCCTCCCAACCTGTGGTATTCTCTCCACTAAATCCATAGTGTGGATCTTTGTTAGGTTATTGGTCAAGGAGGTGGTAGAGAAAGTCAATCCCATTCTTTTAGGATTTTATTCCTGTTTATCTGTTGTGCCCAAGAAGACTGGAGATTGGCGACTGATCATTGATCTCATTTCAACCAATTCTTAGATCCTCCCAGGTTCACAAATGGAGTCCTTTCTCTTCTACGTTGGCATTTTTCACCAGGTCTATGGATGTCCAAGTTCGATGTCACTAATGCATATCCACATTCCCATAGCGAAGTCATCCCAATGCTATCTACATTTTGGGCACAAGGGTCAGGTACTGCAGTTCAGAGCTCTGCCCTTTGGACTAGCTTCTGCAGAGTCATGCAAACTTTTTCTCATTACCTTCATGCTTTGGACCTGTGCACACACCATTATATGGACGACTGGCTACTTCTGTCACCATCTTATCAGTTGGCAGAACAACACACCCAGATTCTACTTTTCAGATACCACCAAGGGTGGCTTTTTTATCAGAGCCGAGAAATTCATTCTCTTGTTGACTCAATATATTGTTCA